AGAGAGAGAGAGAGAGAGAGAGAGAGAGAGAGAGAGAGAGAGAGATTAGCCCTGCCTAGTCCTGCCATTGGGAAACTGCCGGGCCAGATTTGGGGGGCAATAAACTCCAGGGAGGAAGGGTCCGCGTTTGCCATACCTGAATCTCTCCTGGCCCGCCGTGTCCCAGAGCTGCAATTTGATCCTCTTGCCGGGCTCGATCTCCACCAGGCGGGAGAAGAAATCCACCCCGACAGTGGGGTCGGAATGCATCGGGCCCGGGAAGCGGCCCTCGGTGAAGCGATGCAGGAGGCACGACTTGCCCACCGTGGAGTCGCCCAGCACGATCAGGCGGAACTGGTAGATCCAGATGGCCGCGTCCATGGCTTTCTCCCCGGGGTCGCCGCGCTGGGGGCCGCTGGCCTCGGCCTTGTTGGGTCGCCTCCGCGGGCGGTGCCTGCACCGCGCTCCGATGGCCCCTATCCCGGGCATTGGCGCAGCAGGAGGAAGGCGCGGGCGCACGGCCGGAGAGAGGGAGGCGCCTCCGATCTGCCGCGGGGACTGGCCGGGAAGCGCGGGATGCTTCTCGGGGTGAGAGGGGACCCCTGGCCGGGAAGGCGCGGTGAACGGGGATGGGTGTCGACCTCTCCGAAAGGCAGATGCAAGATGGAGCTTGCCTGGGAAGGCGCCGGGAAACCCCTTGGCGGGTCTTTGTTTGCTCCCTCAGATTCTGGGGTGGAGGAGCTGGGGGAGGGGGCACCGGGGGAGGATTTCTCCATTTTTCTCTCAGCAGTGGGGGGGGGGATCTGGGGGAGGAGGAGGAAGAGGAGGAGGGCGGGGTCTGTGCACAGCCTTACTCCCGCTGGGATGAGGGAGAAGAGACACGAAGAAGGCTGTTTAGGGGTTAAATGGAGAGGCAGACAGTCTTTCTCCCCTTCTCTGCCCCACCCTCCCTCTCCACCCCACCCGCACGCAAACCTTTCCCCCATGCCGAGTTTTGCAACAGAAGAACCCACTTTTCCCACCTGCCGATTGGATGTTGCCGCTACCACTACGCGTTGCCGAGGTTCTGCACATGTTCAGAGGCACCACGCTCATTTCCCCAGGGCTGGCTCTAGACGCAGGGCTCACACTCTTGCATGACCAAATCTGGACTGGACACTGTGTGCGTATAACTGAGAGTGGGAACCAATTCTGACTCGCTAAGTGGTATGTCTGTCCGAGAAGTGTTTGTAAAGGCATGTTTGTATCCCACACACTTTGCATTTTAGCTCTACATTTTTAATCTGCATTACTGGAAAAAACATAATTGTGAGAAGAAGCTCTAATTCTGGGTGAAGCAGCTTGTCCCTCCAAGTCTAGTGCTGCCCATCAAAAGAGTAGGCAACTTGGAACCTCCAGATATTTTGAACTAAAATCTTCACAAATGCTTGCCTCCATGACCAATGGTCAGGTATTATGGGAAAGGTAGTCCAAAACATCCAGAGGGAACCACATGGTCTGTTCTTGGCCTATCCTGACTGCCAAGGTGTATTCCTTGGCCCACTATGCACATTTCATTAATTGGACATGCCAAGGATGTATCATTAACCCTTCAACATGCAAAGCACATATCCTATGGCTCTGTAAGTGCTTTGCAAATGGATGCTTTCATAGCACATAGCTTTCCATCTCTTAAGCAAGTAAGTTAAGCAAGGAGAGCCAGTGTGGCGTAGTGGTTAAGAGCATGGGACTGGGACTCAGACGATCTGGGTTCTAGTCTCCGCTCAGCCATGGAGCAAACTGGGTGACTTTGGGCCTCAGCCCAACCTACCTCACAGGGTTGTTGTTGTGGGGATAAGATGGAGGAGGAGATGTAAGCTGCCTTGTGCCCTTTGTAGGAAGAAAGGTAGGATAAAAATATAAAAAAGTCAACCATAGATTAGAAGGAGGGCTAATAATCTAGAATAAATTACTCTTCCCCTGCACCTTAACATGCACACCCTCCCAAAAGTAGTGGTTGGTTCCTCTTGTTGCCTTAGGTGGAGTTTTCACACAGTTGTACACAACTCCAACATGCACATGTAGCCATTTCTTGCTCGTTTGTTTGTTTTTAGCCAAGTTGCAGTGGCAAGAGATTTCGAGCTGGTCAGCTGAGGTTGGCATCAGTGAACAGCTTTCTGCAGGCATTCTCTCTTGTCTCCTTTGCATTGGGCTTTCCCTAGTAGAAGAACCGGGGGTAACACTGAAGGTTCGACAGGGCAGCGGTGACCGTCGGTTGCCTCCCTTTTCTTCTCCTCCTCCAACCCCTCAAAGGGTTGGAAGTAGGACAGGGCTCTTCTTTTTCTATTGCCAAATAAATTGACTGAGGACTGCCTGCTTCTCACAGACTGAAAGTAAAGGAGCTGTCCATTCAGCACTTTTTGAGAATGTTGGTATCATGAGCCCTGAACGACAACAAAGTCGTTCAACCTTATATATTAGAACAGGATTGTTAAATGATGCATATGTAGAGATAGGATCCAATATGTGTGGGTGTGTTCAGTTAAGATCCTCCAAGAAAACCTAAGTAAAAACAAAAACTTTGCACATTTGACATTGGATTGTATAGATTCATTTCAGTTGAGTTCAGGAAAGTTTCTGGCATGAGAACTTGGTGGTCCTGTTTAATGACCTACAAGGAAGCAACAGGGCGAATGTGGCCCCATTGATGCTGCTGGATCTCTTGGCAGCGTTCAGTACCATAGATATTGTATCTTTCTAATCTGACTGTCTGAACTGGGAGTGGGAGGAACTGCATTGCAGTGGTTCACATCAACTTGGATGGTTAGCACCAGAAGGTTATGTTTGGAGAATATTGCTTAGCCCCATGAATTCTCCAGTATGGTGTTCTGTGGAGGGTTGGTTTCATTCCCCATGCTGTTCAACATCTACATGAAACAGTTGAGTGGGATCAAGCAGAGTTCTGGTCGTCCGCAGTATGATGATGACAAGCAGCTCTAGTTCTCCATTTCATCTTCATCAGGTATGGCTGTGGATGTGCTCCAGAAGTGCTTGGCTGCAGCAATGGATGAAATGAAAGCTAATAACTGAAACTTTCCTAGACATGACCAAGGGACTTGATAGTGTGTTTTTCTGTCAACATGGAGAAGAAGCTTAACCTGTTCTGTATCCCCCCCGAAGGAGCAGGTTCATAGCTTAGGGGTTACCCTTGAGTCTCCTTTGTTACTTGAGGTTCAAATAGCCTCAGTGGCATGGAGCACCTTCTATCAGCTTCAATTGGTGGCCCAGCTATGCCCCTATAACTTGGAATAACTTGTCTTCAGTTACCTATGTTCTGGTAACCTCTATTTAGATGACTGCAATACACTCTTTGTGTGGATGCTTGAAAATGGTTTGGAAGCTGTAGCTCATGAAATATGTGGTGGCCCAACTTGATAACAGGTGAGAAGATATGAACATATAACAGGACTTTTTGCCCGCTTGCACTTGCTGCCTGAGTTTCCAAACCCCATTCAAGGAGCTGATTTGGCCTATAAAGCCTTACATGGCTTGGGACCTGAAGAAGTGTCTCTTCTGAGATGAACTGAGCCTTACACTGCTTCCATCACTGAAAGTGCTCCTCTGAGTGTATCCTCAAGGACGGTGCAGAAATCGGCAGCAAGGGAAAGATATTTTGTGGTTCACTTCAATCATGGCATGATCTCTCCAATGGTGCCCGCTCAGCACCAACATCGTTGTCTTTCTTGCACTAGGGTAAGACTCTCCTCTTTTTTCAGACATTTGACAGCATTTGATGAAGTTTTAATCAGGTCTTGGATTTTCCTCATCGTTGAGTGTTTTAAATTGTTTGAGATGTATGTGTTTCTCCATGTGTGCTGTCTGTTTATATGCAATTTTTATGTATATTGTTAAGGTTTTAATCTTTCTAAATCATCCAGAGAGCTTCAGATATTGGACAATATAGAACAGTTATGAATAAAATGAAATACTGTGAAATGAAATGTCAAGCTAATATTCTCAGAGTCTCACATTCATGCTTTATTATATATGTTCAGTCAATATATATAGCTCACTATGTCTTTAAAAAAATCAGAGTGGTAGTCACAACTGAGCATGACAAAGTATGTAATACTGAGCACCTTTGACTCAAGAAAACAAGCCACAATTTATACATCCTCAAGTTGTTCATAAGATGAATCAAAGGCAACATCAGAGGTTTGATCAGCCTGTGCTTACCCTTGTCTAAGTTCTTGCCTAGTTTCTGTGCTTACTATGTGGTTCCAGTGCCTTCTCCTGGAAAAAGGAGGGAATAGAGACATATAGGACAGTTTAAAGTATCCCTGCTGGGAGAGGGATATGAGAGAACTTATGACTGTCAGCTATCCCAAGGGACAGTCTTCATTTTTAAAATGAGGTGTGCCATTGCACCAGTGTCTCAAATCATCTTAGATGACCTGACAAGTCCTGTGCCAAAGATCACCTCCATCAGGTTCGTCCCTTGACTGGAATGACTACTAGCAGCCATTCCAGCAAGCTGTAATACAGCAAGAGGAGAGGGGAACAAACCCTCCTGAAAGATTATCCCTCTCCCCCCCTCCCCCGTGTCCATTTGTATTGTGACTTTTTAGACTGCAAGTCTGCAGGCAGGGACTGCCTTAGCATTACTCTTTTATATAAGATTCTTTGGAAAGATTCCTTTTAGCCAAAATGCAGAATGCAACCATTTAAACAAACACACATAGCTATTATTGGTGAGCCAAGATCCCACTACACATGTTCAAAGGAACTGTCTTCATATATCTTAGTCCTGACATTTAAGGCTGTGCTGATCACTGGCTCAAATTAAGACCTGGAGAAGGCACACAGTGTCCTGAATAGACTGGTGATGAGACATATACCAAATTGGATCTGCAGTACAACCTAAGTGCCAGATTGGAAGTATGGGAGAAATCATTGGACCTATGCACTCACAAGCAAAATGTGGCAGGAGGAAAACTGTGCTACTCAGTTTGAATGTGCCTTTTCTCCATAGAAGCTCTGCTTTTAACCCTGCCTGCTTTGTAAGATGTGCGAGTAAATAACATATGTATCTTCTAGGTACACTGAGCTGAATGAATATATCTTCGGAAAAACAGATTGATACAACAAATAAACTTGACTGATCAGTTGACTTGACTTGACCAGTCAGTTAAATTTATATTGACTTGACCAATCAATTAAACTTATATTTCCATGCAACCATAACTCAATATAGGTATATTTTCAAGAGATAGAAGAAAATGTTGAATAATTTACAATTTCATATAGAACTACCTCAAAATCTAAGATGGAATTAGAAGGAATATTTTAGTTTCTGATACAGGAACACATCAGAAATGAAGTTAGTTTTTTTTTTTTTTAAACCCTCAATTGGCCTCCACTAATTAATCAAATAAAGTTTTAAATTTCTCTATCCCTGAGAATGGTTGATAGGACATTTGTGTGTGCTCTGAGAATTGTTTGTGCTTCTG